ACGAAGAACCTCCGGCTCCGGGCACATCTCTTTGATTCCACTGTTCTTCCTGCATTAACATATGCCTCAGAGACCTGGGCCCTACGCAAACAAGATGAGAACGCTATTCAGGTCTCCCAAAGAAGAATAGAAAGAGCTATGCTTGGAATATCACGTTTTACTCAAATGAGAGAAAGAATCCGGAGTTCTGACATCCGTCGACGATCAAGGATCAGGGATGCTGTCTCATTTGCCAAGGTGTCGAAAATCAGATGGGCTGGTCACGTAATGAGATTTAAAGACGACCATTGGACTAGAGCTGTTACTGATTGGATTCCATGGGATGTCAAAACACCGCGTGGCCGCCCACCTACCAAATGGTCAGACTTCTTCGTGAAGATCATGAACAATCGGTTTGAGGCCCTTCATGTTCCTGGAGCGAACAGATGCCATTGGGCTACACTAGCACATGACAGGGACAAATGGAGACGTTACTGGCGCCTGCTCGAGCAAATCGACGACTAACGGGAAGTTAAGTTAAGTGATTAAGTGAAGGTGTTAAGTCATGGCCTGAGAATTTACGGGGGTATTAGATATGAGTTGAGCCTTCTGTGTTATTGTTTTCACTCACAGAGAATTTCTACTCAATTTTTTTTTATCTTGTTTCCTGTGCTTCTATTGGGCTGTCAGCTCTGTGAAGTTAGGAGGTGTTGTGCGGCTGCATACGTGGTCACATACTTCAGAAACATTGGAGTTGGGACAGTCAGACGCCAGTGGCTCTCCGGCGTCTCTCCAAGATCAGTCATGAAGCTAGGCTGTTTCTCTGGCAATGGTGGGAACTGGATATGGATGGGTGGAGTGCTGGGATTCTGGCAGAATAGGAACTGGATCTGCCTCCATTATGCTAAGGCTCCAGAGACTTGGGCCTGGTGTCAGCATCCACGTCTCCCTGGAATAACTCAACCATCAATCTCTCACCTCTTCTTCCTTTTTATAATCACACCTATTAGATTTAGGGTCTAGTTGTATCAGAAAGAATAATCCTATTTCATGATGCTTCGTCATAAAATCTTATTTTTCTAATAAGCTCAGTTCATGTGTTTGGAGTTGGAGAGTGTTGGCCATATCTTTTTTTTTTTTATTTACTGCTTTCTTTTATTTTCTTTTTTTTATTGAATTACCATGAGATACAGTTACAAAGCTTTTATATTTAAGATTCAGCCATAAAATGATCAAACACCCATCCTCCACCAGGGCACATTTTCCACCACCAATGTCCCCAGTACCTGCCTCCCCCCACCCCATCCCTGTCCTCACCCTGCCTCTATGGCAGACAATTTCCCCAATATTCTCTACTTTGGGGCATTATGTTTTGCCTGAATTTTCCCACCACCATTAATGCCTTCCTGCCAAGAGCAGATGCCCAATAATTTATTTTCCATTGCTCATTTTGAATATCATGAGAGTTCACAAGTTGCTTTGTGGCCTCACACTTCTGGGATCCTAGGTTGTAGATGGTTGGGTTCCAGAAACATCTCTAGGGCACTAATCTATTTTGGGATTCAATTGGGAGTCTCTGGACAAGAGTTGTTGATGCTCCAAAATGGTGCCCAGTGGAAGTTTGTGGGTGTGACAGCTGGTCTGCAGAGCTGGTGGAGAGGCAAGGAGAGACTGCCCCATCTCTGCTGCCATGCTGCCTGGAGATTCAGTCCTGGTACCCACATATCTGGGCCTTGCTTGTGGGAGCTCTTGGACGCCAGGATTCCATCTGGAGTAGCCTGGGAGACTGCACCTGCTCCATCTGGGGTGCCTCAGTGAAATTGATTTGGTAGGGGGCCTGGAGAGATCTCCGGTGTTGTGCACTGGTTGCTGTGTTTCTGGACTGGGGTGTTGCTGACCATATCTTTTAGGGAACCAACATTTCAGCCATTCAAAATTACTGTGTATTAGGAAAATATAAAATTGACCAAAGAAAATTTTTAAAAATGATATATGTGGCTGGTGAGATAGCGCTAGTGATAGAGTGCATGCCTCACATGTGTGACAGCTGGACTTCACACTCAGTACACCATGCACCAAAGCACCAGCACCCACAGAATCTGAGATCCAAACTATCAGACCCACCCCGACCAAGGAATAAGGAGCCCTTCCCCCACTCCCAACTCACTCTAAAACAAGTGGCTTGTGTTGGTTTCGGGCTGTCCCCTCCTATTTTGCCTTGATGAAGCTTGAGTCTCTAGACTTTCCATATGATTGGAAAGAAATAGCTGCAGAGCTACTGAACCAGAAAGAGTATTTGATTTTCCACTTAGTGACAAGCTAAATCACAAAAGATTGCAAAGCATTTTGTGTAGACGTGCTGCTCCTGCTTTGCTGCAGTTCAGCTCTGGCAGTTTACATGAACAACATTCAGCCAATTAAACCTCGCTTATCAACTGGGGGCATTGGCAGCAGGGAGGCAGCACACAATTAAAGTTCAGCCAGTTCATCAGCTTCCATATGTGCTCCCACCCTTCACCTCAATCTGTTTCCACACTTTCTTTCAAATCCGAGGCCTTTTCCTGTGGTTTGCCAGTCTGTCCTCAGAGTCAGGGACATACCAGGGGAGTGGTAGGTCTGTTAGCATAAATCTCTAAGGAGGGAAAAATTATGGAGCCGGGAAAAGCAAAACGAAGAATCCTAACAGACATTTCACAATCTTATTGTGCTGCATTCATATTTGCTGAATTGAATCATTCCTTTAGATAGCCACCAGTGAGACGTGGAGAAATGATTATCCTTATCTCATAGATAATTAAACTGATGTTAATGAGCATTGAGTTTCTTTTCCCAGGCCCCACAGTTTATAAGTGGTACAACGAAATAAGCCAGATGTTTTGACAAACTATCCATAAAGGCACTCTCTAAAGGAAGTAGATAGCCAAAGTATTTTAAGTAATTCAAGCTTCATTTAAGGAGGCTTATAGGTGCCAAGCGAAAGTAACCTACAAATGACACTGATGTGGTTGGAACTTGCAAAAAGTAAAGTCTTGTTTTCTTATGAGAACAATATAATCTGTCTTTGGAAACCTTTTCAAATGGAAAAACCCATTATGAAATAGCAAGGACAAATTCTGTTTAATGTTCTTTGACAAGCAAGGAGATTGCCTGAGATGAAAAACTCCTGGTTTTGTGAACTGTAGATCAAAGTCAGCATAATTTCTAAGGTTGGCTTCAGTGTAAGCCAGAGAGTCTGTGATGTGATTTTGAAACGTCAAAAGTGGACAATCACAGGAAGTGCAAAGCAGGGCTCTGTGCTGGCTACAGGCCTGTCTCCCTGTGCCCAGAAGCCCGGTTAAGCTACTGAGGCACTTCTGTGTCAAAGCCACAGAAGATCCAGGAACTTGGCCTCTAACACACATGTTTACGAAGAACACTGGGATTCAGAAGGAACTTGAAGACGGTGGTGGAGAGTCTCAAGTACTTTGGTGATGGTGAGGTGCAGTAATTACGGACATCTAACTCATTACAGTTGATAATCTTGCAATCATGTTACTTAAACTATAGTCATACAAAAGGAAAAGATTTAAAGACTGAAAAGGCATGAGAAAGTTAAGCCTGTCAAGGCACAGTCAAATGTCTCCAGTCCTTTTCAGAAGTCTTTCAAAGTGAGGCTGGAGTGATAGTACAGCGGGGAGGCTGTTTGCCTTGCACACGGCTGACCTGGGTTTGATTCTCAGCATTCCATATGGTCCAGAAATAATTCCTCGGTGCAGGTCAGAGTTATTGAGGAGTAACCCCTGAGAATCACCAGATGGGATCCAAAAAGCCAAAAAAAAAATAGTCTTTCAAAGTCTCTTGAAATCCTTTCTCCAGAGGAAAGTCCTTCATGATTCATTTAAGTAATAATTGGGAGGAATTATGAAGATTATGTATGAGTAAATGAAACAACAAGGGTTTTCTTTTTTTTAAGGGTTTTCTTAACCCTTAAGTTTAGATGTATGTAGAGGGAGAGATGTATGTTTACAAGTATTTCCGTCAAACGGGGACAGGAGTAGCACTGGGTGGTCTGCTGTGTTGGTTGTGCACTGAACAATTCCAGGGAGCACTGTTTACACGAACTACAGCATGAGCAATGACCCTTGGGAAACCCAGTTGGCCTGACTGCAATTTCTTATTCCTTCTAAGGCATGTCACATACCAGATTAGAAATCCCCTTTCTAGTGGCATAAGCTTGTCATGGTTGCCTGTTATTATCAAAGTTGCCTGCTAATCCCCTGACAGGGAATGAGAGTAGACACATAAAGACAGATAGTTGGTGGTTTTCTTATTTTACTGAAAGATTTTCCCCATCCATTTCCACTTTGTGTTCATATTTAAAATGTCATTACCAAACACTGAGTGCCTGCCCATGCTCCATCTTGCAAGAAGGCGAATGTTCCTCATTCTCTGTTCCTCACTCTCCCTTATTCCTTTTTCTAAAGTTCACTGCCTTCAGATCTATTTCCTCATAGAACACAAAAATGTTTATGTGAAATGCATATTTCAGTTGCCTCATACCTTCCAGGAAACTGAAACCTACTTGTTTTCTAATTTTCCACACCCTGAGCATGATGAACATAATTCATGTGTCCTTCTCCTGATTATGAAGTTTTCTGTAGATTACCTACTTATTACTGCAGTAATGCTCTGTAAGATTGTAGGACATGTAGGGAATCTCAGTGGCCTGCCACAGCATTTATTCTTCTCCCTCCGAAGGTCTGTGGAACTGCATAAACATTTGGAGGGTACAAGGACACCAAAGCAAGCAGGTACATTGAAAGCTTCTAAATGGACCTCAGTTCTACCCAAGTTTACTTTCCAAAGCAGACTGACTACGGTGAGGGTGTAGAGGTACCGTCTGTCCTCTGAGAGAGCGGCTCAGTATCAGGGGGCCCAGGAGAAGTGGTAACTGCTGTCGACAGGGCAGAAATCCCCAGTGTAAACAGTGAGCCTGCCCACACAGTTCATGACAATCTCAGATCCATCCCTATCCTTTGCAGGAGCTGAAACTGATCGGACTGGATATCCCACACTTTGCTGCAGATCTCCCACTGAACCGCTGCAAAAATCGCTACACCAACATCCTACCATGTAAGACGTCCAGAAGGGCCAGCCCTGCTCATGCCATCTGAAGCTTGAAGGACTGTTCCTACAGATAAAACCCTGGACCCAGTCCTAGGCCAGATCCCCTGAGCCCTGGACCGCCCCTCCCCTCCAGACCACTGCCATGTCAGGATAGGTCATCTGTGATGGGACAAGCCACCTCTTGGCTCACTTTTTGGGTGGGGATACAGGAGAGAATGGGGAAAGGGGAGAGGGAAGCTAGGAAATTTCTAGAAAGAGGCCTTTCCCCCTGGGGAGGTTCTTGATGAAGGTCAGTGGTGTCATTATTAGAGAACCTCAATTTCTACACATGAGGCTTGATGTTTCTCACTCAAAGTCCATTCACCAAAATCCCATGCAAACCTCTCCCTCTTCGCTAGCCCCGCAAAGGGAGTGACTTCTTTGCCTGCCCCTAGAAATATGGGAATCAAGTCAGGCTCCATTCTCTAGGCTTCCTGTCAATCTCCCAGATGGTTCAGTTCCTGTAAATATTCTGCAACATCTTTCCTGTCCCCCTAAAATCTGGAGACCATTCAAAGGTGAGCTGATGAGTTAAAAAAAAAGTGCTCAGGAGCAATTTATAAATGATAACTAAGAGTGAGATCTGGCTCAGGTATCAGACCCCCTTGTCTCTCACCAACTGGGTGTGGGAGTGGTTGGGGAGAACCAGGATAGCGTTCCCTTCCATTCTGATTGTTCTCGCTTCCTTTCTTCTCCTTGACAGATGATTTTAGCCGTGTGAGATTAGTCTGCATGAACGAGGAGGAAGGTGCAGACTATATCAATGCCAACTACATTCCAGTAAGTGAAAAGAAAAAGATGAAGATGAATCAGGTCTCCACATGCAGACATGGCCAGGGGAAGACGTGAGGGCAACAGACAAAAAAACACCTTCCCCTTCCCAACAGTTCAATTCTGTAAACAAGCGTCCAACCTTCCATTGCAGAGTAAAGAATAGAAGAGAAGGGCCGGAGATTAGTACTAGATTGGGTATTAAAGGACTAGTGAGTGTAGATAATGATAATAATATATGCTTGGCTGGCACCCTGGGAGTGTAACTGCCTACAGAGGCCCTCTACGGGGTGAATTTCCTATATATCAGTGGACAGCAGTTCACGCCCGAAAATTACACAGTGATATAAAGCAAAGGCACTTCAGTAAAAATGATAGCTACCTTTGCTATAAAAGTTACAGAGAGGGCGTGGACAGATATTGCAGTGGCCCTGCAGGGTACTTTCCTTGCACACAACTGATATTAAGTTTGATCCCAGAACTGCACATGGTCCCCTGAGCACCACCAGGAGTGAACCCTGAGCACAGAGCCAGGAGTCAACCCTAAGCACCACTGGTGCCAACCTCCCCCAATCTTCCCACTAAAAAAAAAAAAAAAAAAAAAAAAAGTCAGGGTAGTGAGGCCAGGAAGTGGCTGAGTGAGAGGCCTTGCATGTTTGAGGTCCTGGGTTCCATCTCTCCATCTCAAGAAAAGGAAATCAGCAGTCGACATTATTAAAAGGCGTTGAGTATGAACTCCCAAGTTACCTTGGAAACTTGAAAAGCAGCCACAGTTACTATGAGAGAAGCCCCAGTCAGCACTAGCCTTGTCAGGTTTGGGGCTCCGTGACCCCTTCCCCTGACAACCTGCTCCTCTCACAGGGCTACAACTCGCCCCAGGAGTACATCGCCACCCAGGGGCCACTGCCCGAAACCAGAAACGACTTCTGGAAGATGGTCCTGCAGCAGAAGGCACAGATCATCATCATGCTCACTCAGTGCAACGAGAAGAGGCGGGTGAGTCCCCAGGGCTGTTCCCTGCGCTGCCCTGGGCGAGTGTCCCTATGTATCCCACACCACCCTGCACCCTCTCTTCAGCATCCCCCCCCCCGACAGTCGGTGGTTACGGGGGTTCCAGCCTTTGGTCCTCGAGCCAGCTCTGCCAATGCAGTGACGGGGAGGCGGAAACAGCTGCTTCCCTGGCCATGTGGCTGAAAAGCCTCCTGTCCCTCTGCCTCAGGTGAAGTGTGACCACTACTGGCCCTTCACAGAGGAGCCTGTCGCCTACGGAGACATCACAGTAGAGATGGTCTCGGAGGACGAGCAGGACGACTGGGCCTGCAGGCATTTCCGGATCAACTACGTGAGTCACTCCCCGGGGGCGGGGAATCGTCCCCACACAGGCAAATTCTGGGTGCAGGTGGCCCAGCCACCTTAGTGTCAGACCGTGGACGCTTCTTCCCAGAGAAGAGCACTCTTCTCTGGAGCTTGTTCCCTTCCTGTGGCGAAGGGCTGGACTGAGAAGAGCATGCAAGGACACTAATGGATAAGGGGCAGATGGAAAAGAGGCAGGTGGAGAAGGTCCCAGATGGAGAAGGTCCCAGGTGGAGAAATGGCAGTTGGAGAAGCATCCAGGTGCAATGTGGTCCTAGGGCCCTGGAGGGGATGGGGACGGGGCCGGGGGACTGGACCCTGCATTTCTGAGGGTCCCAGAGCAGTAGAATAAAGTGGGTCACTACTCCCAAGGGACTGAAGAAGGAAGGTTCTCTCTCCACAATGTGTCAGGCACTGGGACATCAAGATACACTCATACTTGCAACATGAAGCAATGCACATAGAGTGGTTGATTGGGTCCTGCCTTCTCTGGTTCTGGTTTGGTTTTGACACTTTCACAGGCCTCACCTAGCACAGTGCCGTAGTTCTCTTGAAATGAGTTCCTGCCTCCTGGGACATTGGGAAAAGCATTTTTCTCAACAACATGAGTGTGTGCTGGGGGACCGGGGCTAGCCCACTGGATTCAGGGTTATAAAAACCAGGTACTGGGGGTGGGGGATATACCGGGGACACTGCTGGTGGAAAGTGTTCACTGATGGAGGGATGGGTGTTTGATCATTGTACGGCTGAATCTTGAACATGAAAGCTTTGTAACTGTATCTCACAGTGATTAAAAAAAGGGGGGGTAATGTGGAGTTGATGCCCAATTCAATCAGCTTAATCAATGGGTGGATAAATAGAAGTACTCCTACATTAAAAAAACACAGTTACTTGCTTCTGAAATGCACAGAATAATGAAACAATGAAAGGGGAAAGACATGGAGAAAGAGAGAACTCTCCCACCTGTCTGACCATCCTCTCAGTGTGCAGTGATGGAGTTCTTCAGGGGCTTGTAAGTGCCTGAGAGACAGGACAGGGAAGGGAGTGTCTTGAGGTCCTTTCATGCGGATCCGCACCTTGAAGGACAGAACTTAGTTGGTTGAGAATAGAAAAATTTCCACAAATGTGTCTGTCTCTGCTCACTTCATCATTTGCCGAACAGGCTGAGAAGACGCAGCCTGAGGACAGACCACAGACATACCCTCATTGTAAAGCCTGTGACTTTTCCAAAGCATTGGGCACGTAGGGAGGATTGAAAATAAGAAAAAGAATTTCTAGTTACTTTATTATAGAAATGACGTATTTCGGAGAGCCTGGCAAGCTACCGAGAGTATCGAGCCCGCACAGCAAAGCCTGGCAAGCTCCCCGTGACGTATTTGATATGCTAAACACAGTAACATCAAGTCTCACGATGGAGATGTTACTGGGCCCGCTCGAGAAAATCGATGAACAACGGGAGGATCGTGACCGTAGATCGTGACGTATTTTGAATTTCAGTATTCTCAATAACATGCCTTGCCGTTGACCACACAATCCATCATGCCTAGTTGCTCCATTGCTGCTGCCTCAAGCTTGAGTAGATGCAAGAGATCAGAGGACCCACTGTACAGAATCGGCTGCTCTTCCCACTCGGGAAGGTTAGCTGAGCCTTAACACAGACCACGGAAACAAGGATTGTCCATATGCAGGCAACAGAAACAGAAATGCTCATTAGGTCTGCATTTATGAGATAAATCACTTCCTTAACCACTGGCAGGAAGGGATTTGGGCAACAATGGTTTTTGAGACAAAGCAATGGGAATTTTTGGCAAATCCCAGTTCGATGGTAATGGTGCTTCCTGCTGTTCCATTTCTGCCATATGTCCATGTCCTCCTGTCCCCTCCGTGCTTTTCCATTCAGTAAAGCTCTCCAGTCTGCTGTCCCCTCACTATTAGCTTTCTATGTCTCTGCCCCTTCCCCCTCTGCTCTAGCCTCCCTGAAGAACTCCATCACTGAACACTGAGAGGATGAGCAGAACAGCGGGTAATAGAGTTCTCTCTTTCTCCATGCCTTCCTTCTTCACTGTCCTGTGCATTTCAGAAGCAAGTACCCTGTTGTTGTTGTTTTTTAATAATCCTTGTAATCCCAGCCGTTAGCTTAATAAGTCTTTCTGGAATGAATAAATCAAAGGATGGTGAATGAATGCATGAATGGTTTCAAAAATAATAAAGCACTTGAAAAGCATCACAAACGTTCCATCGGAGAAAATATTTGACAATCTGAATGCCGAGTAAACTCTGCTCTCTTTCTTGGCTATTTCAGCTGGAAAGCCAGTGGCAATTGCTTGAGGAATATAGGCCAAGTCTTTCCCAAGTTTTTCATCTAGGAGAAAAAAGAGTTCAGAGCACAAAATAGGGTCTGTTCCTATGGCTGTGCCTTTGACAGGGAAAAGTGATATCCATCATTGCACAGTCCGTGCTTCACAGCTTGTCCTTGATCGTAGCCGATGACCTATATTTCAAGGATAACCACGTGAAAGACTTGAAACAGGACTAAAACACTGACTAGCAGTGTTTTCTGCCAGGTATTTATGTACCCCTTCTAAGCATCGGGCTGCCTTATAGCTGTAAACATACAGAGCTAAAATGCGAGTTCCCTCAATGAAGGGTCTCCTGCCAAAGACCATCATGTGAGCTAGTGAACGGTTCTGTTTGTTTCACTATTGTTTATACTCCAGTTTCCTCCATATGGACGTGAGGAAACTTTCAGACTCTAGGATGAAAATATATAATGAGAAAAGCAGAGTGAAAGAAAACCTTTCTGGAAAGGTTGTATCAGAAGGAGCCAGGAGTTTTCTCACTTAACAAGAATGGAGGAAAAATGACTCTGTCACACAATTTGTCACTTTCCAGCTCTTGAGAAGCTTGAACTCAGTGAGAACTAGAGAGTTCCAGACTAGCAAAAATCCTGTTTGACCCATGACTTGCTATTCCTTTAGTTGGGTCACCCTGACACTGGCAATGGAGGGACATGTGACTTTTGCAGTGTCCATTGGGGTCCATATTTGAATAGGCAAACATTTCAGGAACTTTTCTCTGGACCATCAAGGATATCTGATAGCAACTGAGTATCTTTAAATGCTCCTTCTGTGCTTGGTTCATTCTGCACCATTGATCAGACTTGGGTTCCTTTCCTCGCCTCCTTCCTGAAGGCACCCGGGAATGGAACCAGCATCTTTGCAGACCTTGTGCTTGCTCTGTGTGTCACAGAAAGGGCTGAGAGCACGTTGGGGAAAATGTGAGTGTGTGATCTCAGGTGCCATGGTCTACTGGAAGTGTTGGCTTGTTTCTGTTTATATGAATCTTATCTGGGTACTTACTTATGTATTTTAGAGATATAGATACAGTTACTTATATTTATACAAATTGCACTCTGCCCAAGACCACTAATTCTTTGGAATTTATTTCTAAATTACAACATAGGGGCCAGAGCAATAGTATAGCAGGTAGGGGACTTGCCTTACATGTGTCCACCCAGGTCCTGTCCTTAGCACCTCATATGGTCTCCTGAACCCCACCAGAGTAATTCTGGGCTCATCTTGGAATAAATAATAACTAAAATAAATTATTATAGAGTGTTTTATCTTCTGGGTGGAGTCTAGGTGCTTAGCAAGGTTGAGAGATGGGACATGAAATTGATACTTTTGAGGTGTGGGTTTACGTTGCTTCCCCAAAGGAACATAGTGCTCCTGGTGGGTTAGGGTGCTGGAAAGATGGGGTGCACAGACGTGGCTATGGGTACACTTGAGGCGAGGGGGGCTTTCTCTTTGTTCACTTAAAGGAGATAGATATCCAGGGGGCATAGAGTAACTTTGTAAAAAGGGGCGATGTGGCTGGAGCGATAGCACAGTGGGTAGGGTGTTTGCCTTGCTCGTGGCCGACCCGGGTTCAAATTCCAGCATCCCATATGGTCCCCTGAGCACCACCAGGAGTAATTCTTGAGTGCAGAGCCAGGAGTAACCCCTGAGCATCACCAGGTGTGATCCAAAAAGCAAAAAAAAAGGGGGGGATGGTAAGCTAGATAAGTTTGGGAGCTTGTAGAGTAGAATATTTCCAATGAGAACAGAATTAATCTTTATGCTTATAATTGGTAAGGACTCAAAAGAATAACTCTTGAAAGACACACATCTCATTGGTCTGAGATTCAAATCCCTGAGTAATTAGTTCATGGAGTACTCTGTCTTTGGTATCTGTGTTCCTTTAAGAAGGATAAATATACTGATGCCTCCCCCTCCTCAGCTGCCCAGAGCTAGGCAGAAGGCAGCAAGGCAAGGAGCTGGACAGAACTCTGATCATGGCTGAGATGGTCTCCAGCATGTATACTCTCACAGCCCAGCTCACGGTGTACATCCTCACAGCCCAGCTCATGTGTATACCCACAGCCCAGCTCATGGTGTACACACTCACAGCCCAGCTCACAGCCCAGCCAGGGTCTCCTCCAGGGTCTCCTGAGCTTTAGGGGGAGGCCAGGTCATCCATCCTGCCTGGGCTGTGAGAGTGTATACTGTGAGCTGGGCTGTGGGGGAATACACATGAACTGGGCTATGAGAGTGTACACCATGTGCTGGGCTGTGAGGATGTACATACTGGAGACCATCTCAGCTGTGATGTACACACTCACAGCCCAGCTCACAGTGTACACACTCACAGCCCAGTATATGGTGTACACTCTCAAAGTTCAGCCCACAGTGTACACCTTCACAGCTCAGTACACGGTGTACACCCTTACAGCTAAACATACAGTGTATACCCTCACAGCCCAGTACATGGTGTATACCCTCATAGCTCAGTGCATGGTGTACACACTGAAAGTTCATCGCACAGTGTACATCTTCACAGCTCAGTACATGGTGTACACACTTACAGCTAAGCATACAGTGTATATCCCCATAGCCCAGTGCACAGTGTACACCCTCACATCCCAGTTCATGCTGTCATCAGATCATTTTTAGAAAACTGAGGTGGGAGTTTATTGGGATCTGGTCCCCAAGACAGGGCTTGTCCTCCAGGTGATTTTTGAAAGCACCATCTCGGGGGGAACCTGTGAAGTAACACAGAAAGCTGGAGAGGGCAGGGCATGGCCTCCCTCAGGGCTACACACAGCTCTGGATTCTGCGGGGTCCCAGGAGAGACATGACAGCACCCGCCTGGCTTGGGTGAGCTGTGCACCTCGACTTCCTGGCCCTCTGAGGAGGTGCCCTCTCTCTGGGCCTGCCCTCAGTGTCAGCAGGAGCTGGCATTTCCTGGGCCTGGGGTCCTTTGTAGGAGAGGGGGGATTTGTATGTTGACCACAACTGCTGGGCGAGGGCCACACCGAAGGATCCCAGGTGACACCTCACACCGTGTCTAACGCAGCGGTCAAGGTGGATACAACTCTTCAGTGGCGGCTTCCCAAACCTGACTCGGCTTCAGTGTCGCCTTCCAGGGAGGGATTAGCCTGTTGATGCTGCGCTTGGAAGCTTTTGAGCATTTGTATCTTTTCCTGGGCCTGCTTGGTGCCAGCCACATTGCTCCAAGCCAAGGGGAAGTGCACGGTCTTCCATCCTGAGTCAGAGTCTCCTCCAGGGTCCTCTGAGCTTCAGGGGAGGCCGGGCCATCCAACCTGCCTGCGAGACTGATTCTTGTTCGGGGTTCTCTCCTAAAGGCTGACGATACGCAGGATGTGATGCATTTTAACTACATGGCGTGGCCTGACCATGGTGTGCCCACGGCGAATGCTGCAGAGAGTATCCTGCAGTTTGTCCACGTGGTTCGACAGCATGCCACGAAGAGCAAAGGCCCCATGATCGTGCACTGCAGGTAACCTCAGCCCACATAACACCTGCTCTACAGAGAACTCTAGCATAACCTCTATGCATAAACCACTCTGCATGTACCCATGGTATACACAATCTACCCACTCTATATACATCCACGATACATGCATCCTCATATGCTCACTGTACCATACCCACCCCTCTACATATATACGCTCTATATAATCTCTACATATACTCACTCTGCACGCACCCACTACATATACACTCCACTTACGCTCTGCATATATGCACTGGACCACCCACCTTACATATATCCACTCTGCATAATCTCTGATTATACCCATTCTGTATATATACCCACTTTTGGGGGGGTATATACCACACTTATTCTCCATACACACACTCTATATCTACCTGCTGTGCATAATCCCACTCTCCACATAAAACCTGGGAGGACTGAATTAACGATAAAATAAATTGTGACTTTAACACACTGAGGCTTGCTGCTCTCCAAGCGCGTGTTCTCCCCTGAACACGTGTCCTGCTTGCTTGTCTTTGCTTCTTCTCTTGCCTGTCTCTACTCTGGAGAAACCTGTGTTCTCTCTTCAATACACACTTCTCTGTCTCTCCCCTAACATCTTTTGAAATAAGTTTCAATAAAATCTTGCCTCACAAAATAGAAACAAACATTGATAATGCTCTACATGATTTCTATACAGCATCATCTATGTCATATATATGATTGCTATATATGAGTTGTTTATCATATGATGATATATAGCATATGATCATATATCATGTGATTATATATATATATCAGATATATATGGTTTCTATAAATGATTTGCCTATCACAGGATGATTTCATAACCTATAGTCCATAAAGTATTATTATACCACTATCAGGTGGAAACCCAAGGGACAGAGAGGTTCAAGAATTAAGTCACATTCTTGAAATTAGAAGGTAGAGGGGTGAGGAGAGAGCTCAGTGGGTAGTGCATAGGCCTCGCCTGACCAGATTCCAGGGTCCATCACCAGCACTGCAGAGTGTCTCAGGCACCAGGGTTTGGGGTCTTGGTAGCCCCTGATGTACTGAGGCATGAGACCAGCTCAGCCAGGCCAAACGTCACTGGAAGTGGCCCTTGGGACCTTCTGAAGCGCTGCTTAAGGGAAACCCCTCAAGAAGTGCAAGAGGAGGTGGAGGAGACAGGCTGTGCACCCAGACAGGTCATGTCTTTAAGAACTCTGATACTACCCTGCGCTGCCAAGGATCCTGAGGGGCTTAGTAGTCAAACAAAAGGTAGGATTAAGTACAGCTAATCATAGCGAATAGGAATAGAAGTTGTTGCCAAGGAAGGAAAGTGAAAACATTCAGCTAGAGATTTGCTATGGCTGCTCACCTAGAGAATTTTGTTCAGGCACTGCAAAAGAAAGCCACTGTCTGGGCGGTTATGTGAGCAAACACAAAGGTCCAAACTCTTTTCTTGAGGAGGGATGATTTTGGAAATGAAGCTCCTTCCTGCCAAATAAGCAAGACTCCATTGAAGTTCTTTAGTATAACACAATGGCAGTACACAGGTTATAGCATAATATTAGACAGGGGGTGGGGGGTATAAATATGTTCCCACTATCTGATGCCAAAAAGGGATAAAGATATGAGAGCAGGGTAATGGCACCAGCTGTCAATCTGAATAGAAAAACCTTATGATCCGGAATCTTCTAGCACCTTGGACTTTGTGAACAAAAAATGAATAGATGGGGTGTGTGTTTGTGTGTGTGTGTGTGTGTGTGTGTGCCTGTGTGCATATAAGAGAGCACGGGAGGGGGCTGGAGCAATAGCACAGCGGGTAGGGCATTTGCCTTGCACGCGGCCGACCCAGGTTCGATTCCCAGCATCCCATATGGTCCCCTGAGCACCGCTAGGGGTGATTCCTGAGCTCAGAGCCAGGAGTAACCCCTGTGCATTGCCGGGTGTGACCCCCCCCAAAAAAAAGAGCACGGGAGAAGAGCCAGTGAGCTTTGATTTACAAAATAGACAATATCTGCAAAGTGCAAGGAAACAAGTTCTTAAAAAAAATCCTTTAAATGGAAAGGATGGTCGGAAGTTTAGGCTTTTTCCCCAATCATGTCTCCTGTAATGTTTCGTAATTGCCAATTAGTGTTCAACCGTGTCTGATTCTCCTGCATCTGGATTTGTCTGCAGTGCTGGAGTTGGGCGGACAGGAACTTTCATCGCCTTGGACCGGCTGCTACAGCACATCCGGGATCACGAGTTTGTGGACATCTTAGGGCTAGTGTCGGAAATGCGCTCGTACCGGATGTCAATGGTACAGACAGAGGTAGGCACGGGATCCGGATGCGTTTCCAAGTCGACCCCTGACTGAGGTATTTGCCATTATTCAGGCTCATGTTTTCAGACTATGTCTTTGGTACCTCCGCATCTGCTGCCCCAGGTTGATTAGGCATGTTCAGTCGGCGTCTGGGTACCACACCGGTGGGGATATAGCCAGTGGACATACTGTGCTCTTCTCACCGCCTGCGGCCCTTTACTTCTCCAGAGCACTTGAATGTCTGTGGGACAGCATAAAACCTCTTGGAACGGACAGAATTCAGTGATGGCAGCAGCCAAAAGTCGCCAGATGGAGGCAGGAGACCAAAATTCCGATTTGAAATGCTAGATTCGATTCAATATGTGTAACCATTAGTTTGCTCTCCTTGTGACTCTGTCCCAATTCATTTTGTGATGGCAAACAGGGGCTGAATGTTCGGCTGCTGGCTTCATGGTAGTTTTAAGGATGTCTAAGTCTCCATCCTACCAGCACTGCCAGTTGAACCCGCTCTTGGAACATTAGCACACACCCCAGCCCAGTAATTTAGTCGGGATATGTGAGCGCTCCCGTCCCCCCACCCCCCACCCTCTCCTGCCTTGAAGCCTGGGAGCAGGCTGGGTTTGGAGTGGCAGCCAGCAGACAGATTCACCCCTCCAGAGAGCAGCAGTGGGTGTGCACCTGTGTGGGCCCGAAGCGAGCACAATAGCTTTTTCATAATCCTAGTCACCCAGACGTACTTGAGACTTCTTAGCGTCAAGCTCACAATAATCCTTTTTTACTCAAAGGAGCGTGTGTGGGCGGAACATACATACCCAGGCCTGCTCTCTTAGCAATTTTCCAAGACATTAAAAAAAAAAAAAATCCAAAAACCCAGCAGCCCCGGCTTCCTCTTGCTCTTCTATCACACACCGCTAGATGTCAGTGTAAATCAAAGAGCCCGGTTGGTGGCTTGCTTCTGGGCACTTCCGGTTTCTTAGTTGCTGTTCCACCTTCTCTCCTCCTGCCTCCCTGTTCCCTTCTGACCAAGGCAGAGCTGTTTGGTGTGCTCGTTTCCAAGGTACAAGCAGGAACTCATCCCTTTGCGAGAGTGCTCTGATCACACCCTCAGATGTGCCACAGTTAATTAGGAAACGGGGCCTTTTCTTGTTGCCTCACTTCCTTGGACATCAGGCCCTAAGACTTTCTCATTGACTGCTTCGGGGACCTGAACATTACCTGGGTTCACAAGTTTCAAACGTTTCTGGTTCCCAGAGAAGCCCACTACTTAGTGATTAAACTGTGCTTTATGAATCGGTTCATATTTCTGGCTTTCACTTCCATAAATTTACATCCTACTATGTGATTAAAACTCCCCATTAGGTATGTTAATCCCCGAGCTTCAAAGGGTCACTCCTTAAGTATTTGGAATTTGATAAATTGTCGGTCCCATTGACTTAATTTATACCTCTCTTAACTTTATAGACTTTGATTATAACCTATTTGCTTTTCCCAACTGTAGAATCTTAAACCCTTCTTAAGCACAAACCCTTGGTCCGGTGTTGCGTGCCATTACCTTTCTTTGGGTGAGGTAACTAGACGCAATGAGGGCTCTGCCTTGTGCCTTTCTACAAAACCGAGAAAGTGTTTTGTTTCTCCCTCATCTTCTCGATCCCAGTTCTGATTGTTTGGCTTCTCTGTTTATGGAAGAATTTTAGACTGACATCTCCAGGGAAACTGTCTTTTTAAAGTCCCATATCCTTTCCCTGAACTCTCACGGGAAAATTCAGAGTCAGAGAAAGAGGCAAGAGGTTACCATCGGTTACTTATTTTTCCCATCAATTCTAGCTTCAGTCTTTTGATTTCCGGCCAGGTTTTGCCGTGGCTGCTCCTTCGCTCAAGTTATTTATTCATGTCTCTTTGGTTAAGTCTGGAACATCTTGTTCATTTACCTTTACTACTTATTTTTTTCCCCCTCATTCCTATGCTCTTCATGGTCCAACCTATATTTTGAATATTAGGATTTTTGCTGACCTTCTTCTTCTTTAATTCAGTCACATATTTTTTTTTGCTTTAGAATTTTCTGATGTACCAAGAAAAAAAATTATTTTTAACTTTCTTATTCCAGAAGACCCCTTTAAACTTCAACGCTAATGATTTCCAAGAGGCGAGAGTTATCATCCAGCTGATTTCTGACTCTGACTCGTGTGTGTGTGTGTGTGTGTGTGTGTGTGTGTGTGTGTGTGTACCAGGCTTCCTCCCACAGCTGGCTTCTAATTTTCCTACTGCCACTAGACTGCCTCACCCAACTCTAAAAATAGCAGAAATAAATTGCTCACTTCCTTGGGTATACCCTTGAGGTTGATGCTACCTACTACATGGACTGTGTGCATTCCCCTTTTCTCACCTGACCAGACACACAAGAGTCATGGGGAGAAGTAGGGACCCCATCCACAGACTGGACGCTGACTTCAGATCTTCACTTTCTCACCTGAAAGAAGTTTCTGCACTGTTGCAACATAAACATAACGTGAAACAGTGTCCTGGAGATCAGTGTGAGAAAATGTACTGTGCTACCTTGGGGTGGTGTTTGGGGCGAGCTCCATTTTTATCAAATATCTTGTTTAGTTTTCTCCTAATGCCTAACCCTGGAGATCATAGGGGCTTTCTGGCTTGACTGGCCTCTTAGACTTCTTGGGCCACTCAGGGAAGTGCCTGTAAATAATCTTTTATTTACATTTTCTGCATAGGTATATTTTCTTATTTTTTTTTCTTTTTGGGTCACACCCAGCAATGCACAGGGGTCACTCCTGGCTCTACACGTAGGAATTACCCCTGGCGGTGCTCAGGGGACCATATTGGATGCTGGGAATTAAACCCATGTCGGCCACATGCAAGGCAAATGCCCTACCCAGTGTGCTATCGCTCCAGCCCCTGCATAGGTGCATTTTCATTTGACACAAAGTTTGGCCATGTTGTGGGTGGAAACTCTGGTCATGGCTGACCTTGTGTATGCTCAGTGCTTGACAAAGAGCCAGCAGAGGAATGTGCGTTGAGGAAAGGGGGTGATTCAGTTAAGGGTTGCTGTGATCGCCAAGTCTTGGTGAAATATAGAGGGGACAGATAGAGCAACCCAGAGAGGCTGGAAGTCGAAACTTATCCTTACTATAAAGTTGACATACAAACAAAACAAAACAAAGCAAAACCAAAAACACTGTATAAAATCCTATGGCTATCTTGACTCATTTGGGAACTGTTTCTAAAGGTATTCATACTAGAGAAACTCTGGGGAAGGAAAGGCAGGGAAGACCCCTGATTATCTTAATATAGTACGGCACAAACATCTTTGTGCAATATAGCATATTAAGTATGCTATACTAACTCTCAATGTTAGTATAGCTCAATGTTGCTGTTTCTCATCTTAACCTTTATTCAAGTGCAACACGCACCCATGCACTATGTCTCCTTAAGCCAGCTTCACATTCCCTTTGTTCACTTTCATTTTGCTGTATTATTCCAAATTGCCTAAAACTCCATAACTCTCATTTTAAAGCCTGTCGTGTCATTATAGATATGCCAGCGCTTACTTTGATCTATTTATACTGTCTTCTGGATTGGAGCAATAGCACAGCGGATAAGGTGTTTGCCTTGCACGCAGCCGACCTGGCCGACCCAGATTTGATTCCTCCGCCCCTCTCGGAGAGCCCAGGAAGCTACTGAGAGTATCTCACCCACATAGCAAAGCCTGGCAAGGTACCCGTGACGTACTCGATATGCCAAACACAGTAACAAGTGTCACAATGGAGACGTTACTGGGCCTGCTCAAGCAAATCTATGAACAATGGGAGGACAGTGACAGTGACAGTGATAATGTCTTCTATATCTACAATATGATTTATCAACACTTTAAGAAAAAAGTGATTAATAAACTCAAATCTTCATAGCTATGCTCATTTCATAGATTATAAGCAGATTTTACAATGTATTTTTAATCCGGCCTTTTAAAATTTGTTTTAAAATTAAAATTTTCTAAATTTTGGTCTTTGTTAATTTGCTCCTTATGATGCAATATTTCCCCCAGATTAATCAAAAAGCGTTTAATAGTTTTTAAAAATTAAGTCCTAGGTATAAAAGGAACTCGGTATAGGAATAAATATCTGCTCTCCAGTCAGTATTTTTGTTTTGCTATTTACAGGTGTGTACCACTAATTTAAAGAATTTTTAATAACATAAGGGTCAGTATTTTACCAATTCTAAAAATATTTCCCCTCCACTTCCAGTTTGCATGTATTTTTTTAACATGTATTAGTTGGATTTTTTTTTAATTTTCTTTTTGAGGGGATGGAGGTCTTGAGCACACCTGGTGATGCTCGCGAGTTACTCCTGGCTCTGCCCTCAGTAATACCTTCTGGTAGTGCTTAGGAGACCATATGGCATCCCAGGGATTGAACCCAGGTCTTCCATGTACAAGGAAAAGTGTTCTACCCAGTGAACTATCTCTCTAGCCCATTGTTTTCTTTTTTAAAATTGAAGTCCTTTTAAAAACATGCATTATTCAAGTTCCAAGTAGACACTCAAATCTGTCACAGTCACTGTCCTCCCGTTGTTCATCGATTTGCTTGAGCGGGCCCAGTAATGTCTCCATTTTGAGACTTGTTGTTACTGTGTTAGGCATTGCCACACAGGCGAGATACTCTCAGTAGCTTGCCAGGATCTCTGAGAGGGGCAGAGGAATCGAACCTGGCTCGGCCGGGCTGGCTGCGCGCAAGGCAAATGCCCTGCCACTGTACTATCAATATCTAAATATACTACATAACGCTTGTCACCAAAAGTTTGGTTTCCAGCTATCAACAGTTGGCTGTTTTACCCGATTTATCCCATCCCCTTTCATTTAGCTAGCCACTATTTCATTCTAGTAGTCTAAGAGCTCGTTTTTGTTTTGTTTGCTGGTTTGTTTTGTTCCTTTATCTGTCCACATTGGAGTGAAGCCATAGATTGGTCTTTCTCTGTAGCTTATTCCATTGTTTCAAATTTTAGTTAATCCTTAAACTAAAATGTAAGGATTAAATTAAAGAAGAATTTGCCTCTCTGTTTTAATGGCCTATTTAGTAAACTTTCTATTCTGGTATAAAGGAGGTCATGCTTTTAAAAACATAAATAGCTGATTTTTTTTATTAGTGAAACACCATGAGGTACAGTTGTAGATTTACAAATTTTGTGCTTGGGTTTCTATTATACAATGATCAAATACCCATCCCTCCACCAGTGCCCATTTTTCACCACCATGGATCCCAGTATCCCTCCCACACCCATCCCCCCCATCCCACCCTGCCTCTGTGGCAGGGCATTCCCTTTTGTTCTCTCTATTCTTTTGGGTGTTGTGGTCTGCAAAAGAGGCATTGAGTGGCAAACATGTTCAGTCCATAGTCTACTTTCAACATGCCTCTCCCCTTCTGGGAGGATCCTCCAGACACCCTTTATTTGGTACTCCCCTCTCTTATCCGAGCTGTCCTTTCCCATAGAACACCTGGCTGGCCTCTAAACTATGGAGTAGTCCTCCTGGTGCTGATCTCAGCTATTCTTGGGTATTAATCTCATATTTTGTTACTTTATATCCCCCAGATGAATGTAATCTTTCTATGTCTATCCCTCTCTTTCTGGCTCATTTTGCTTAGCATGATACTTTCCATGTTGTACCACTTGTATGTAAATTTCATGTCTTCATCTTTTCTAACAGCTACATAGTACTCCATTGTGATGTACCAAAGTTTCTTTAACCAGTCATCTGTTCTTGGGCACTCAGGTTTCTTCCAGTTTCTGGCTATTGTAAAGAATGCTGCAATGAACAAACAAGTGCAGATGTCATTTCGACTATACATTTTTGCCTCTCTGGGATATATTCCCAGGAGTGGTATTGCTGGGTCAAATGGGAGCTCAATTTCTAATTTTTTGAGAAACGTCCATACTGTTTTCCAAAAGGGCTGAACCAGTCAGCTTTCCCACCAACAGTGAAGGAGTGTCCCTTTCTCGCAACATCCACGCCAGCATTGGTTGCGTTTGTTCTTTTGAATGTGGGCCAGTCTCTGAGGTGTGAGGTGGTATCTCATTGTGGTTTTGATCTGCATCTCCCTGATGATTAATGATGTAGAGCATTTTCTCATGTGCTTTTTTGCCATTCGGATTTCTTCTTTGAGAAAGTTTCTGTTCCTTTCATTGCCCCATTTTTTTAAAAATAATTTATTTATTTATTGAATCACTGTGGGAAAAGTTACAAAGCTTTCAGGTTTAGGTCTCAGTCATGAAAATATCAAACACCTTTCCCTTTACCAATACTTATTTTTTACCACGAAGAACCCCAATAAAACCCCACCCCCCCACCCCTCCCAATGCCTGCGAGGCAGATGAATTCTAGTTGACACTCTATCTGCTTTGATTAGATTCATTGTTTCAATAAAAGATGCACCACTATTATTTAGAGTTTACCCCCTCCCCCCAAATCAGACTTGCTGAGAAAGCATTGTGGAGTGATTCGCTTTCTACAGCTGGGTTCAAGAATTAAATGTTGGTTTTGGATTTCCGCTATTTTGCTAATTAACCCTGGAAGTATTTCTACTGAGAGTCAGATAATTAAGAGATTGGTTTCTGTGCTCTGGAGTCATGGCCGTGCTGGGTAGGGCGTGAAGGTCGGACCGGAACGCCCCCCCTTCCCATGAGGATTTTGTCACCCCCCCCACCCCCCGCTCATACCTGCTGTCCACAAGGCTCCCATGCTGCCGCCATCTTTCTTTCCAGAGGGAGGAGGGCGGAAGGGAGCAACACCCTTTCCCCTCCAGGCAGACATGATGGCCTGGATTAATGCATAGTCCGTTCACTCTTCTGCTCCAAGTTGCTGGGTTCTGCATTAAGTCCATGTGCTTCTGGGGCTGTGGCCGTGCTCCAAACTTAACTCTGATTTTCAGGGAGAAACGTTGGGTGATTTACTTCCCATTGATCACTTTGTATATACAGAGATGGGCGTGACTTCCGGAATCAGAGGTTATTTGGTAGCCAGTAAGATCCCGGCGGTTTGGAGGAAAAGTCCTAGTTCCCGCATACTCGAGCTATGCTTGTGGAGGCTTCTGGTCACCGGGGTTCCATCTGGGGGAGGCGGGATGCGGCACCTACCCCATCTGGGACTTCCCGGTGATCTTGGCTCTTTTTGGCTTCTCTGGGAGCTGTGGAGCCAGCCCTCCATGTGGTCTCTCTGTACGGCTGTGTCATTGCCCCATTTTTTGATGGGGTTGGATGTTTTCTTCTTGTGGAGTTCAACCAGTACTTTGTATATCCTTGATATCAACCCCTTGTCAGATGTGTATTGGGTGAACATATCCTTTCCCATTCTGTAAACTGTCTTTGTATTTTGGTCACTGTTTCTTTGGAGGTGCAGAAGCTTCTTAGTTTAAGATAGTCCCATTTATCTATCTCTGTTTTCACTTGCTCGGCCAGTGGCGTGGCATCTTTGAAAATACCATTAGCTTCAATGTCACGGAGGGTTTTGCCAATTTTGTCTTCAATGTCTCTTATGGTTTCTGATCTGATGTTGAGGTCTTTAATCCATTTTGATCTTACTTTTGTACATGGTGTTAGGCAGAGTTCTGAGCCCATTTTTTTGCATGTAGCCATCCAGTGATGCCAGCACAATTTGTTAAAGAGGCTTTCATTACTCCACTTCGCATTTCTTGCACCTTTATCAAAGATTAGATGATCATATGATTGAGGGGAGATGTCAGTGTATTCAACCCTGTTCCATTGGTCTGCAGTTCTGCCTTTGTTCCAGTACCACACTGTTTTAATTATTACTGCTTTGTAGTAGAGTTTGAAGTTAGGGAGGTTGATTCCTCCCATTTTCTTTTCCCCAAGAATTTCTTTAGCTATTCGTGGGGGCTTATTGTTCCATATGAATTTCAGGAGTGTTTGCTCCATTTCTTTGAAGAATGTCATGGGTATCCTTATAGGGACTGCATTGAATTTATACAATGCTTTCGGTAGTATTGCCATTTTGACAATGTTAAGTCTCCCGAACAATGAGCAGGGGATATCTTTCCAAGAAATAGCTGATTTTTATGCCTCAAAAGCACCTGGTAACAAATAGCATCTTTATTGCCTCCAGAATTAACTGGTAATGGTTTTAATCTGTTAATAAAACTATTGTACAGTTTATTCTCTTGGATTTTCTTGGTTCTCTTGTTTCCTACAACACTGAATCATCTTATTGAGTACTGCTGGAGCGATAGCACAGTGGGTAGGGTGTTTGCCTTGCACGAGGCTGACCCAGGTTCAATTCCTCCATCCCTCTCGAGAGCCCGGCAAGCTACCAAGAGTGTCCCGTCCACACGGCAGAGCCTGGCAAGCTCCCCATGGCGTATTCAATATGCCAAAAACAGAAACAAGTCTCACAATGGAGACATTACTGATGCCCGCTTGACCAAATCAATGAACAACGGGAGGACAGTGACAGACAGTGCTATTGACTACTGCTGTGGCCTTGCAGTGTGGGAGACTTGGCGAAGCCCACGTGCTCTCTGTCTTTTGCTGCAGGAGCAGTACATCTTCATCCATCAGTGTGTGCAGCTCATGTGGACGAAGAAGAAGCAGCAGTTCTGCATCAGCGATGTCATCTACGAGAATGTGAGCAAGTCCTAGTGCAGCGCCGTAGCAGTAAGTGAGAGGAGCCGTCAGGGGTGCTCTGTTCTAGGACAAGGGGAAGGCTGTTGATGAGCTACATCCAAGGCAAGGGAACTTGCTCACGTTCACCCTCACTGAAGGTTAGAGTGAGAGACGGGCCTTCGCGGGTCTCAATTTCATCACACCTGGCGTGGCAGGAAGGACAGGTGCTCGCCACACTCGGGGTGGTCTGATTTGCACCTCCTGCACTCTGGACCAATCAGGATATTGCTACCTAACCCTGTACAGAGGGGCACAAATGCTTTATCTCAGGGTTCCAAGAGATCACAAAGACGCTGCGCTGGGGTAGTTTCCTCCCAGGTGACAAACATTCCTGTAATTTCAGGAGGGCAGCATCAAGAAGCCCCCTACAGGGGCGCATATTTATCTGCCTCTAAAACACATTGGTGGGGCTGGAGTGATAGTACAGCTGGTAGGTCATTTGCCTTGCATGTGGCCGACCCAGGTTCGAGATTCCCAGCATCCCATATAGTCCCCTGAGCACTGCCAGGAGTAATTCCTGAGTGCATGAGCCAGGAACAACCCCTGTGCATCGCCAGGGGTGACCCAAAAAGGAAAAGCAAACAGACAAACACATTGATAACATGCCCATGAACGCACTTTTACAAGGACATCAGATTTTGGGGGTGTCTGGTGAAGTAACAACGAATTTGTCAGTTCTATTCAGTAAACCAATGTCTGGATAGATTGAGTTTGGGGTAGGGGGACCAAGGACAGGGTGGAGAGAGCACAGAGGTGGGAGGAGGCACAAAGGGAACAATTGGTGCCAAGATAGGTGAGCACTATATGTTGTGTTAGAGAAAGAGAGAGGAAAGAGAGAGAGAGAGAGAGAGAGAGAGAGAGAGAGAGAGAGAGAGAGAGAGAGAAGAAAGCATGAGGAATGAGGAGGTAGAAAGGATAAAGAGTTAAAGAGAGATTTGCAGGTACTAGGAAAGCCATTTAAGATGGCTAGAAAGAAGGAATTATGCAGAGAAGGATCAGCCCACATTCTCCTGGATGCTGGGGCCAAGGGGAGGGGCCAAGTGCTGTGGGTGGACAAGTCACCGGGCTTCCGGCTACAAGACTGTTGATGCATGGCCCTGCTCTCCTGAACTTCTTCACTGACTCTCTCTCCCTCCTTCTCATATTCACAGGACAGGAAATGATCTGCATCCATCCTCCTATGCTTCCAGAGTCTGGGGGCCTGGCTAGTCATTCAGAAAAACAGCCCCTGCTTTATTGGACGTGGCCAAGGGGATCATTTCTCTCATTGTCGCACCAGGAAGACTTAGCCTTAAAGAGCCTACAAGTGTCTTTTTGGACATTTCAATTCTGGACATTGAAAAATGGACCAAGTCAGCTAAAAGGTGCAGACACTCGCAGCGGATGGGAGCGCGGCACTCCTGACGCTTCCCTTCACTGTTGGCTGGTGGGGCTGAGTTTTCTTGTTGTTAAGTGCAATAATCTTTGTATTGTGTGATTTTTATCAGAAAAAATGGGATTATTCTTTGCTCACACAACTGCTCAAGCCTGTAGCCCAGAAAGGATCGGGAATTATCCATATCCGGTTATACCCCATGGTGGAAAGAGGCCTGGCCACCTGGAAGGAGAGATTTCTTCCTCAAGGCAGCTGGGCCAGTGGCACACCGGACACCAACACTGAGCTACCGGAGTTGGGGAGAGGTGACAGTGGAAGAGACCAAGGAGGTTCTATCCACGGAGCAACTGTGTTTTTTTTTTCCAAATGCAAAAGCTGTAATTCAGCTTCACAGTAGAGTAGGGGGAAAAACAAAAAACAAAACAAAAAAACATTCTTGTCTTACTTGTTCTAGTCCTTGGTGGGTTTCTTTATTCATGCTGAAGTGTTTCTCCCCGGGCCCTCCCTGTTGGACTGGTCTCACTACGCTGGGGTTTTTGTTCTTGGTTTTCCTTTTCTTTTTCAGCAACCCAGATCTGGTTGGAGGAAGTCTTGGTTCTTTCCAACCTGCTGCAGTGTTCGTGCAATCTTGGTGCCTAGGTTCTGCCTTCCCTTTCTCTGCTGATCTGCATGGGGGGGAAGCGATTTCTTGAAAAACTGTAGGCTGTAAAAATGCGCTTCCCTGCCCCACGCGGAGAAGTTAGCAAGTGACAGTGATGAACTGCAGCCTGCTCGAACAGTTCCTGGGCCATGCAGGGGTGGGGTGGGAGGGTTAGACTGCCCAGCGCTCCTCGGATTCCCACCGACAGTTTGGTTTGTTTTCCTTGGCGCTGTCGCTTTCCTTTTTTTGAACCCGTGTAACTAGTAACATTTTGTTCTTCCGATTTTGTATGAGGACAGTACCTAATGGCGGGGGTGACATGACGGCTGTCACAGTGGACGCAAATGACACCCTGGAGCCCGTTCCCATGTGTCACTTCCAGAGAAATAAGAGGTGACGGGATGGGTTGGCCAAGGACAACCGGAGGAGTTGAAAGTAAATACAAGCTGGCTGCTTCCCTGGGTGCCTCTCGTGTGTCCTTTGCTGCCCCCTGGTCCCCATCCTCCTCCCGAAGCCAGGCCCACAGGACTTTGGGAACGGTGAAGGACGCCAAGTGAACAGCCCTGCGCCCCACTGTCCACGGTCACTGCAGCTCCTGGCGCAGCTCCCGGCCAGACCCGGCCAGCGAGTCTCGGTTTCACCTTGCAGGGGGCATGGCCGGACACTGAGGCTCAGCAGCTTCTGCTCCTCAGAGATGAGCCCTTGGGGCTCTCACCCCTCCCTGCAGCCGCCGCCTCCCCTCCTCCCTGCTCTGCCTGGTCCCTGCTGTATTTTCCCCTTCTCGATGGACGTGTTAATCATCTCTCACTCCATTCGCAGGAACACACCTGGCTGGAGCGAGGTGGCAAACACAGGTGGCACCGGCTTAGATTGGCACAGCGGGGAGCCATCAGGGGCGACTGTGGGCAAAGCCACACAACTCGAGGGTGGAGCATTACTTCTCTTGAAACTTAACGCGCACCATAAATAATTCATGTTTCGCTTGAACACCCCCTTCCATGCGGGGATCAAATGGTACCAGATCAAGTTTCCCCAAAGAAAAGATAATGTCTCCTGAGTTCCCGAGTTTAACTACAGGAAGGTTATTCTAGAGCACTTAACCAGAACATTCTTTTATTCCTCTGCCACCAGCACTCCGCTCAAGGTGATACCAAAACACATGGACTCAGAGTGGGAAAAACATTTGCCTGTTAGAAAATTTGCGGTTTGGGGTTTGTTTAGTTTTTGGGCCCCATGGCAATGCTCAGGGGTTATTCCTGGCTCTTCACTCAGGAAACATTCCTGGTCGTGCTCAGGGAACGCAATAAAGTGCCGGGGAACAAACCCAGGTTGGCCACATATAAGACTTACCCACTGTACAACTATTGCTCCAGGAGTTACTCCAGCATAAACTGAATTTACAACTCTGAATCATGTAGATTTCAGAAGTGTCAGATGAGAAAAGCAGTGTTGAGTATCCCATTTACTTCTGTCCCACATGGACACTGATCAGTTTCATTTCTGCCCCAGGACCCCACCCTCAGGATTTGGCGGGAAAGTTACCAGAACCTCTGGAGGGAGGTTTTGCTTCTTCATCATTCGAGCAGTGCTTGGTAGAAATATGGAGCTGTTGATTCACACAGTTTCTAAAATCCCTTATTGGCAGAGAAAGAATAGAAGATTAGAAAGTACTTCACTTTGACAGCTATTGAGACCACATTCCTACAGGTCAGGTTTTGAAGTTAATTGAGCAAGTACCATTGGGATAATTTACAAGCTAACACAGCTTTCCATCCGGCACTAACATTATGGGATTTGATTTAGCCTTTGTGAGGTGAAGGGGAACCATTCTAACACAGGATTCTCAACTCTCAAAGACCATGACAACATGTTTGCCACGTTTAAAGTAAGAAAAGTTAGTAAGACTTTTACTGTCCAGTTTTATAATAGCCTTCTTCTACAAGCTGTCTCTGCCCCTCTGAAAAGTGCTGCATCCCTAAAAACAACAGCAACAACAAAAAGCTGGAGTGTGGACACATAACAGACTTTGGACCTGAATATTTTTCAGACCATATGATAGCTGCTGGCGGCAGGGCTGGCCATCGGCCAGGGACTTAAGGTTACTCAATCCAATTCCTAAGAGTCAAAATCTCTCCTGCTTTCTAGCAAGGAGGCCTTCCTTTCCACCTCGGGAAATGTCCAATATAATGTGCTTCAAATTAGCTGGCGCAGTGCCTGAGCCCAGATCTCTAAGCCTGCTGCCTGGCACGGACTCAGGGGCCAAGCCCTGCGCTGACTCTAATATCCACTTGGCCAAAGGTTTATAAAGCAGCCAAAATAGAACACGAGAAAACCACAAACACTACCCCCCGCCCTGATTTTTAATAGCCCCACTTGGTTGCACTTGAAGGCAACTGGATCAAACGATGATGGCTCTGATGCCCTCCCTTCTAGAACAGCAGAACTTTAGGCTTTATTGGCAATAGGTGCTGTCATGAGGCCTGACCCCGATGGGCCTCTTGGTTAGAGGGAATAAATAATAAACTGTCTAGTTCCAAGGTAGGAGATGAGCGGGCTGAAGGTTGTCCAGGCTGTCATCTGAATCACCTGGAGAAAGGTGATGGTGCTAAGTCTGAAGGAGGAAGGGGAACGTCATTTGTTTATTCATCCATTTCACAAATATCTATTTAAAGTTGCGTGAATGATTCACAAGTAGCAAAGCGTCTTCACATTGGCTGAGAAGCAAACACGCTGTCACATACTGACTGTAAAAATGGGGCCTCCTGGAGTAAGGCACTGGGTAGGGCACTTGTCTTGCACATGTTCACCGAGTTCAATCATCGGCACTGCACATGGTTTCCTGAACCCTACTGGCAATGATCCCTGAGCAGAGAGCCAGGAGAAATGTCTAGAGTAGCACTGGGTGTGGCCTAAACCCTGTCCAGCCTTCCAAATATCCTGGACCCAGTCAAGGGAGATGGCATTTAGGTGATGGGCACCAGACTGCCTCCTTCTTGCATTTGTCAAGATGATGACAGTGATAGCGCTACAGTTCCTGGGAAGATCAGTCCAGCGGCTGGAGTAGTGTCTTCACAAAGAGAGGCGGTGGGGAGAGCGGGCTTTTGTCTTGGGCGCAATGACTCAAGAGAGAGAAGAAGGCTGCCTTGGAGAGCCTTGCTTTGGAGATTGATGGTTTAGCCCCTTGGGAGGGACACTTGCATTTGGGGAGCACACTCAGCCAGGTGTGGAAAATGAAGTCTTTCTGAGGGCAGTGGGACACTGGGGCAGAGACCAGGGCAGACAGCTAGGAAACCATCACGAGCCAAGGCTGAAGGGGTAAATACCTTGTACCTCTTTGGTTTGGGGCCAGCAGACATTCTCTGACTACCAATGCAGACCTTGCCCGGGCTGGAGACTGACAACCAAAGCCTGTGCAGGCAACTGGGACTGGCCCTTTGAGGGAGGACCCTAGAGGTGGCACCCCCATCTGGTCACTGTTGGGATTGCATCTATGATGCTAGGCAGAGCTTAAAGCTCACGGGCCTTGGCAGCACAAGCTTGTTTTTTGAGGGACAGGTCTGTTCTGGGACGTTCCTGGTATTGGATCACTGCTGCAGTGCCTCTCTGCTGGTGGGTGCTCCCTCAGGAAGAGACTGGCAGAAGGCCTTGAGGACCATATCCACGGGCTCTCAGAGAAACACTGTCCTTGCCCATCCTCTGCTATTGGGACAGTGGCCTAGAATAGTCTGAATGCAGACAGCTTTCCTCCTGTGTGGGATTCGGGGTGCAAAACCTACAGGCATGACTAGACCCTCGCTGAGGGCTGAAGAGAACTTGAGTGAAGCAGCTGAGAAAATCCTGAGTGTGGAACGGAGGACAGAGACGGTGCAGAGTCAGCAACCCCCACCTCAGCGCCGACATCAGCACCTGAGGATGAGTCTAGTCCATTAGAGTCAGTTCGTGTGTGTGTGTGTGTGTGTGTGTTGGGGTGCAGCACATAAGGCAACAGACAGCAGAAGAAAGATGCTGTTTAACTCAATCTTCAAAAAATCTATAAATCTTCACATTTTATGAAGAAACAGAGGGACGTATCACAAACAATACACCCCCCCCCCAAAATATAGCAGAACTATGTAATAAATAATAGGAAAAGATGTAAACAGTGCATAATTCCTATGGGACATCAAGAGGAATGATATCTGCATCCCAGCGCTCCTGAAGAATACGGGAGTAGAAACCCTATTTTGAAGAAAACAGAGCCAAGAGCTTTCCTAATTTGGGGGAGGAACTAAGCATCCAAACATACAAATATACATTCTTAAACAGAATACTACAATCCTGTTGGGAAAAGCAATCCTTCCCTCCTTCCCTCCCTCCCTCCCTCCCTCCCTCCCTCCCTCTCTCCCTTCTTTCTCTCTCTCCCTCCCTCCCTTCCTTCTTTCTCTCTCCCTCTCTGCCACCTTCCCTTCCTCCCTCCCTCCTTCCCTCCTTTCCTCCCTTCCTCCCTCCCTTCCTTCCTTCCCTCCCTCCCTCTCTCCCTTCCTTCCTTCCTTCCTTCCTTCCCTCTCTTCTTCCTTCCT